ATAAGACACACATAGTCTAATCCCTGGGAGTTAATTGATGCCTCCTAACTCCTTGGAAGAAGATCTGCTTTTGAACTGATGCTCTTACAGGGAGAAAGGTTCCAGCACTCTCTCCAGGATGCTGGAGGCATCCAGTTACTTGAGAGTTATGTTAATTGTTGGCAGTTCAAGCCTTTTTTTTTTTTTTTCCCCCCCTCATTTGTTCCCTTATTCTCTGGCTGTGAACTGCAAGATTGCACCTCTCACCTCTGAGACTGGCTAAAGCTGAGGTAGCTCAGCTACCCACATGATTAATTGCCTGATTATACTGCTGGTTCCTGCCTATCAGTGTCAGTCACTCCTTATCCGACACTGGTTCTCAAGTCTCTACTGAGTTTCATTTGCATGTGGGCAGAACCAGCGTCCCAACTTGTTTCTGTTAATTGCTACTATGAGCTTACATCTCCAGAGTGCCTTTCATCCTGCAAGATCACACAGATCCAGCTGTGGAGCAGGGCTTGGAAATCTGGCTTCTTGCCAGCTCTGGGAGGGGCAGGAAAAAAATCCCTCTAATTTGGGTCACGTTATAACTCTTGGGGGAGGGGGGAAAGGGCTTTACATATTAAGTTGAGATTTGCCTGCATTTCCTGAAGATCTCATGCTCTTGACAGAGGCTGAGAACTGCCTCCTTGGTCCCCACAGCTCAGGGCAGCAGCAGGACATGCTGGTCAGGGCAGCTGAGTCCACAGCCCAGAACCTGCCCCTGCTGCTCTCAGGGCCTCCCTCCCAGGGCCGAGGAAAGTGGCTGAGTGACTCGGTTAAATGGACTTGGATTTTCAGCCAATCTAAAGGTTGCAGCCCTGCAGATAAGATGAGTTTTGATGTGATGGCACGGACAAGCTTCCTGTTTTGTTCAGCTTGCTTCTAAAAACATCCTAAGAAATGCACAAAAACTGTATTCAGCAGAAGAGTGGTGAGGTTAAAAAGTCAAATGCTAGAAATGCTGGAGGGGCTGGTATTCAGGGCATGTCCTCCAAACACATTTTTCATTCCTCTATGGACTGCTTCATTGTGATGCTCATTCCTGTGTCTGAGAGCTCCTCAGATCTGAGTGCACTCATTTTCACAGCCTCCCAGTGAGGTGCTGTGGCTCTATCCTTCCCATTTTGCAGAGGGCAGATGGAGAAGCAGGGAAACCGAGCTGAAGGGATCCACTTAGGTGGAGGATGGAGTTACTGCCCTGCCTCCCCAGCCCTGCAGACAGCTGGGACCAGACCCACATCGAGCCTGCTGCTGCAGTGAACACATGGAGCTTGTGTGAGGGGAGATTTCCCAGGTAATATTGGAACAACTGACACTTGGTGCCAACGGCTGCAACCTGCAGACGCTGAGTGACTTGCTAGATGCCATGTAAGAATCATGTGATGGAGGCACAAACACAGTCCACCCTGAACATTCCTGAGAGGCATTTCAGTTGTTTTGGTGAGACACCCCTTATATTCCTCCATTCTTGGTCTCCTTTCCCCGTTCCACTGCTTCCAGCTCCTGTTTTCCTCATTTCTAAATGCGTGGCTATGCAATCTTAGTATCAATATCCTTTTTTAAAATATTTTTTTTTAATTCTTTTTTTTTGTGTGTGTGTGATATTTACAAAGTGACAGTCCTAACACCTTGTAGAAAAAATTGCATGTGAAGGAGAGGAAACTTAAACTCACTGAAGCTTGAAATATTACATGCAACTACAGGAAAAGAGGGAGAAAAGAGTGGTGGGGAGGCAAATACTGTCCTGGGGAAAAATAGGATAGCATCAACATTATGAAGATATTAAATGACTAAAAGTAATCGAGTGCCTGAGATAAGGATGGATGCGCTGCCATCTGCACAGTGTAACCAACAACCATCTAACTATACAGTCAAGCTATCCCAGAGGACATTAAAATTAAAATAAAATTAAGCCATGTAACTAGCAGTTTGGGGACAGAAGAAGGAGACGAGGCAGTGTCCTAAGACCTGGGTAAAAACTTCACAGGAGATGTGCTCCGAGGGGAAAAGCAGCTCCTCTGGAGGTCTCCCTGCTTGGCTGTGCCTGGTGTTTCACCCAGCAGGGACATGGACCAGTGGGTGCATTAGCAGTGTGCTCAGCCCCTTGCTCCATGCACAGATTTCTGATGCTTGAAACATCCCTTTTTGCACATAAATTGGACAATGCACCTGCTGATGCCACCTCTCCTTTTGCCTTGGGATATTTGAGGCATGGGGGAAATGGGGCAGGTGTATTTGTGTGTAAGTAAGGGGAGAGTTACCTAGTGTCCCCCACCACTGAGGGGGGACTGGTAAACATTGGATTGAATCTGGAGGTAACTGGAACAAGTCGCCTTTAATCCTTTTCAGCTCCTGTTAGGCCACATGGTGAAAGGCAGAACTGATACTAGACAGTCCTGGCACACGGAGGATGAGGGGAATATAACTGAGACCCAGCAACTCAAAGCCAGAATTGCCTCTTTATTTCCTTAAACGTTTGCAAAGACCGTGTTGATTTTTGTGGCCATCCCATCTGGTCAAATGTTCTGGACTTCCACTTTTTTGCTAAGTGCCCTCCCTTCATGCCCTGGGAAGACAACACAGTGGTTTCAAACAACTCTCCAGTGCAACTGCACAATAATGCATGGACAAGCCAGATTCCAGCCCTGGGGAATCCTCCTTGATCACCAGCTGCACTCAAAGCAACTTCTTCATAGCATCCCTGCAACACTGGGCTGGTCTGCACAGCCTGGAGCCTGCAAGTTACCCTGCAGTGGCAATATGGAAGGGGAGATATTCTCAATAAGGATTCCGATTTCAGCAGCCGTCTGCCAGGGGAGCTGCTGTAAACAGCAGGGAATAAAAACATGATTTTAAAAATTATGAGAAAAGACTTGACAATGTCCTTCTTCAGAGGCAGTTTGAAAAATCCACACAATAACTGCACAGCCAGGCAAATCCATCTTCTGAATAAAGGCAGTGCAGCCAGCTATTTCAAAATAAAAGACATAGAGCAAGGACTGGCTGGCTCAGGAATTTAATAATAATGAGATATGAAGCCATTCACCCCTGGGTCACCAGTACAAATCCTGTCCAAGCTGGGAATAATTGGAAGCTATTGGCCTCTGAGGCTTGTTTGCTGCTGCCTGGGAGATTAGCTGGGGGACCCGCTGGACCAGCAACTACACGAACAAAATGCCACGGCGGTGCCACTGGCACCTGCCACCAACCCTCCCAGTGCCACCGTGCCAGTGGTTCCTCTCCCCTCTCTTCCTTGTCAGCTCCTCTGCGATGTTGTGACCCATTTGTTCTGGCTTTGCTGCCACCTGAGTCCAGCCTGTGTGTATCTGTGCCCCTTCTTTCAGGCGCTGAAAGACCCCACCTTGGCTGCCCGCAAGGATTTCCAGCGGGAGGCAGAGCTGCTCACCAACCTGCAGCACGAGCACATCGTCAAGTTTTACGGCGTGTGTGGGGATGGTGACCCACTCATCATGGTCTTCGAGTACATGAAGCACGGGGACCTGAATAAGTTCCTGAGGTAAGTGTGAAGGAGGGCATGGGAGATGCTGCACAGCTGCTCTGCAGGCTCAGTGTGGCTTGTTAGAGGTCCATGGTACACCAGTAACACCACTACCTCGTGGATGCTGGTGGGCTGGGTTGGGTTGTGAGAGGCTGTTGTTCCAAGGATAGCTTGTGGGAGATGATGGTCCTCACCTGATTTTGTGCTTGCCCCAGTACTTCCTCTTAGGTAGTCCCAATGGCGGTCCCTGTGAGTTATATAAACTAAGCTTTTCTTCTACCCCCTCAGCAAGTTTGAAGCTGCAGGAGGCGTGGCTGCAATCCCTCTTTGCCCTGCAGGGGTAGAAGGATATGAAGCCACAGGTGTCAGTGGCTCAGAGTCCCATCCACCCAGCAAAGCCATGCCTTGCTGAAGGAAGTCCATCAGTCCCCATGTCACCTAGCTCCTGGTTCAATAGCACCAGAACCAAAATGTTCCCTTGAGAGACTTGCTGTAGTCCTTGGTCTGATTGGAATCCTGGGTATTTACAGATCTCTAGTTCTCATTCTTGTATTCAGAAAAGACCTGAAAAATGCTGGAGAGGCCTCAGGCAGTGCCTGTGGAGTCCATTCCTGGTGCTTGTTCCCTAAAACTTCTTCAGAGGTGCTGACCGAGGTACCAGCCTGGGCATCACACCGCTCAAGGAAGGCCTGAGTAAGTGCAGCAGTTGCCTTCTCTGCCTCTAGAGAGATGCAACTTGCTGGAGCTCTCCCCCAGTCATTCAACCATTTCATCAGTGCCAGGCAAAGCATTTTTGTGCCCTGAATCCACCAGCAGTGAGGGGCAGGGAGCAACTGTGGGAGGATGTTTGTGGTGCTGTTCTCCCACAACAGAGAAATTACGCTCTGAAACCAGCGTGTGAGTGGAGTGGTGCTTACCTCTCTAAATAATTAGCAGTTTTATTTAGAAAATTGGACCCTTGATATTTCCTGCTTTGACTGCTAAGTGTGAACATGATTGCAGCAGGAACAAGAAGCTTGAGCACAGCAGGTCTAGATCTGGGGTTGGGATACACTCGGTGATTATTTTTTCACCATCACAGTCAGTTCCTGACCAGGAGACACAGGTCCTTCCCTGAGGTTTTAATTTCTAAGCAATCAACTATACCAGGAGAGCTATGAATAAGGACCCAGACAGTTTCTTCTCCCCTCTGCAAAGCAATGCCAACCTGTCTGCAGCTCCCTTGGGGAACTCCCAAAGCAGTGCCTCAGTTGGGAGCATCCCTGCACTGGTTTCCCTCCTCATTCTGATGTAGTTGTGGGTAGATTGAATAGGATTTTATAGCTCAGTCGCTTTCTGACGCTCTGGAACTAGATGATCTCTAAGGTCCTTTCCAGCCCAAAACATCCCATGATTCCATTACACACTTGACAAGGTAGAACAAGTGAAGGCTGAAGCTACTCTAGCTTTGCAGAGCTCCTCAGACCCACACCCAAAGAGAAGCGTCCTTGGTTACCCTGGGACCTTCTTTCATGGTGTCCTGTCTTGCAGGGGCTCACCAACATCCCAGCAGCAGCAGGCTGAGCTCTGCCTACAGGCATGAAACCCTGTGTTGGGCTGAAACACTTGTTTTAGCAGAGATTGGAGATACAGTGTTAACAACAGTGGCTGAGCCCCGTGACAGGAGGAAGGCAGACTAAAATAGAGCATGAGAGAGACCACGTTCTTGAAGTGCTTCACAAGAAAGAGTAGAAAATTGACCCATCTCTTTTTCCTGGCAGAACAACTAACCTTATTCTCCTTAGAGGAGGTTGGTATTACAGCTGAAGCATCACCTCCCTCTCTGCTCCAACTGACCTCCCAAACAGTATAGTCCAAAACAGGCTCTCTCACTGTCTCAGAGGGATGTTTCATGCCCACTGCTAATGCCTTGTGGAATTGCTTTGCACAACAGTGTGTTCCTAAGGTTGATATTGTGCTCAAGCTGTGCACTCTTCCCACATCCTCACATCCCAACCCTTCCCTGGGACATGTCTGAGAAACACTCATGTCCTGGGAGGCCTGTCCCAGTGTCACTGAAGAAGAAAGCTTTTTGCATTATCTTTGGCCTTTATGAAGGAAAAAAACTTTCCACATGTGTGGTCCCTGGGATTGCAGCTTCAGAACTTCCAGCCTCATTTAGCTCCCAGCTTTTTCTTCTCATGCAGCCTATGGAAAAAGTAGCTACGAGTTCCTTTCCCTGCATTTTAGTGTGTGTTAGGCAGTAAAATCCCTTTGTATCCCAAATGATGTTGGGTCAAAGAGTTTCTACCCAGAAAATGGGATCTCCAAATGCCTAAGGGGGGTTATGGAAAGAGAATCTTGTGTTTGTTTGTCAGGTCAGCTATCTGTTGGTGGGAAGCTCTGGAGGATGGGAGCTGAAAGGGAGACAGTGAGGGTTGGTGGTGTAGGAGTGCCTGGTATCTCTGGCAAGCAGCAGATTTTATTGTGGCATGATTCACCCAGCTCACAGCAGGAGCTGGTTGCTCCCAGGCACTGGAAGCCAGGGGATCTGGGAGTAACAGACTCAGATGGACTTTTCCCAGTGTAACTGCAGAAATTGGAAAAGCATTAAAATGGAAGAGGCTCACTTTAGACCCAGTTTCCTAGAGAAAACACGCCAAATAAATTCCCCTGACTGTTGTTAGGTCTTTGTGTGCTTCCCATAGAAGAGAGAGACACTTACTGGTCTGTAAAATTAACTGGTGTGGCAGGGGCAGCACTAGAATCAACACTACAGCTGGGATGAGGGTGGCATGTATAGGGTTAGGGATGGCTACACACATTTTCCAGGGCCCCTTGCATGTGCTGCAACAACTTATCCTGCTCTTTGACTGCAGTTGTGTTGTCCTGGGTCATTGAAAAAGGACAATGAAAGATCCTTGTGCAGGTATTGCTCTGCAGTGAGCAGGATGTCCCTGGGGCTGGTACAGGTAGAGGCTGGCAGCTGCCTGAAGTTTTGGTGTGTGGCAAGGCTGGGCACTCCCTGCACACAGTTTCTGCTCACCCAAGAGCTCCATCACTTCATCATGTCACTGGCTTCCTAGCTTTTGTTTTCTGTTTGTGGCAGCAGCAAATTTGAAGTAGGGATAGTTGCACATGGCCTTTACACATCCTCTTTAGAGTCAGTAGCACTGCTGCTTGCTGTTAACTCAGAAAGGCAACAGGTTTTGTTAGAAAAGTTGCACAGTTCTGATGTTTTTGTGTCAATGGAGCAGCCCCGCATTCAGACTCTCTTGGGACAGAAAGAGGTACTGCAACAGGGGAAGCTAGAGGGCTGATTTTCTTCTCCATGTTGGCAAAAGCCTCCATCACTCCATAGTGGAATAAAAAGACCACCAACAGTTCATTAAGAGGGGATCCACAAAATCTTGTGGCCTTTCTATAAATCTGAATTAAACCAATTTCTCCAAAAAGAGATGGGCAGACCCCTCAGGTATTCCCTGCAGGATTCTTGATGCAATTAAATGTGCTAATATCCCTCCTGTTAATCTCATGAATGTGCTGATACTTCTGTCTTCCATGTCAGATGGAGAAAGGGAGGGAAGTGTCTGTATTAAATAGGACCAAGATGTGTCCTATGTAGCAGGATGTACCAAAACCTTGACTGACCACTTCTGAAACATCACCTGTTCTCTTCAGACACAGACACTTCTTTGGGGGCAGTTATTGTACTTGAAAAACATGGCAGTAACGAGACTACTAGTAAAGTATCCTTCACTTCTTATCTAGGAATATTTATTCTTGATGACAACAGGTATCACCTGCAGTTAAATATGGTGTAACTGCAAGTCATGGCTGGTACAAACAGTGCAGCACAGTTTAGGAAGCTGTTGTTTGTCCGGCTTTGCTCAGTCCTGGCTCAGCTTTACCTGCCGTCGACATCTGTTGTTGCCACCAGGTAATTTCCTGGGGTAAACCTGTCTGTGGGTTGTTTAAATTGACATCAAGCAGCCATTTCTCCATATACTCTTCTGCAGCTCCTCCTTACCCTCAGCAGTTCTTCTAGTGGGCTGCTGCTTCCACCATGCCCATAAACCTCTGAGATGCCTCCAGCAGCCCCAGCCTTGCTGCCTGCTCCCAGCCAGCTCATCCCACATGCACTGTAGCATCACCCACTCCTGGCTCATCAGCGCTTATTCCTGGAGTTCCTCTAATCTTCCAGCTGTTCTTTCTACCAAGAGGGGATCTCCAGAGGTTCCCACTGGTAGGGCAGCAGGAGATAGCTGAAGACAAGGGCATTTGAAAAACTACCGGTTGATCCCCAACTGCCTAGATGTTAATCCCTTGGTGCACCCCCAAGCCTGACAGAGGAATTAGACAAAGGATGGGAAAAGTTTGGATCTTGGGGGTTGTTCAGCTCCATTTCAAGAAGGAGGGAAAGCTCTGTACATGTAATTGCAATTTGAAAGCTCTCCATGGGGTTACTGCTGATGACAGGGGTGAAATGCCAAGAATCATTTCAAGGAGAACAGTATGAAGGCCTTGGAAGAAATGCTGTATCTCAGTCAGAAGGAGGAAGGTCACAGCAAAATCTCTTGTTTTTCCCTAAATATGAGGGCTTTTGTTATTCTACCTTCATGCAGGCTCCCACAGGGTGAGCTTTACCAAAGGGAGAAACATCACAGAGGGAGCAGGGCAAAGACAGGCTTGGTACACAGCAAGGGAGGGGACTAAAAAAGGAGACAGGACAGGAATGAGATTGGCCTTAAGTTCTGCATTTTCAGTGCACTTGGTTCAGCAAAATATTTCCTTTTGTTGCCCAGGATGTTCTCTGCATCTACTGGCATCCAGGTCTAACCTTTGCACCTCTGCTCATGCCTTCACAGCTGACAGTACCTGTGTCACCTCTGGGATAGCTTAAGGTATAAAAGACATTTTCCAGGCATGAAGCTACTGGCGTTCCTCTGAAATATTTCCTGTGATCTCTGGCTGTATTGGTATGGATCAGTGGGCAGCTGTTTGGTGATTTGATGTTTGAAAGGAATAAAGGCTGTTTGGGATTAATAAAGAGACTAGGTAGTAAGTATATGATGGCTGTGGAAGAAAAGGCAGTGATGTCCCTACTGCTGGGAAGGTTTCCAAGGTGTAAGAATTAACTGGAGCAAAATGTAAATATCTGGATGCTCATGAGTTTTGCATAGGTCTTGCCAGAGAAGAATGTCAATGTTGCATCAAGCCAGTGGTCCTTCTGTCCTGATGGTCTGTCTCCATCTGTGGCCTTAAGAGGTTACTTGCAGATGAGTAAGGACCACAGAAGGATGCATGACACCCACTGACTCAAAAAATGTCCCCCCAGCCTTCTGTTCTCTTAAGCTTTTCTTATTTTTCTTTCCACTGGAGCTGTGTGTACATCCTCATAGCACAGAGTTGATGAGCAGTCCCCACCCCAGCAGGAGCAGCGACCATGTGGGATTCCTGTCTCCTGGTCACTTTTGAGACCCAACTCTATGCTTTTTGCTTCTTCCTCCCTATAGGGCACATGGCCCAGATGCTATGATCCTCGTGGATGGGCAGCCTCGACAAGCCAAAGGGGAGCTAGGGCTATCCCAGATGCTCCACATCGCTAGCCAGATCGCCTCTGGAATGGTGTACCTTGCCTCCCAGCACTTTGTCCATAGAGACCTGGCCACCAGGAACTGCTTGGTCGGAGCCAACCTGCTGGTGAAGATTGGAGACTTTGGGATGTCAAGAGATGTCTACAGCACTGATTACTACAGGGTAAGGCAGCTCCAGCGGCAGATGCTCACAGCAGAGGGAGACTAGGAAATGTTACAGTAAAACAGGTTTTGGAGCTCTTGGGCTCACTTGCTTGGTTATTCCCTCACTGAAACATGCACACAGGTGTCAATCAGGCATCTCTGTGTCTTCATTCCTTGTCAGTCCTGAGCGTGCTTGTAGTTCAGACACCCATGCAGATGCCTACATGCAGAGCTCTCTGTGATAGCCCAGCACACAGTCACATGCTTTGGGATGGCTCTGAAGTCATCCAGTCCTTCCTTCCCTCCTTCCTATTTTTTCTCCCTCTTTTTTGAAGTCACTGTTAAATTAAAGGTAATCTGAAGAGATGACAAAGACTGCAGGCTGTGACCTCTGCTATTAGATTAAAGAAACTTAATACAGGGACATGGAGAAAAGGCAACTGAAAGGCAGACTGATAAGTGCATAAAATATGGAAGAGAAAAATAATAGGCCGTTTACGTTTGACCTCAAAACACTTTTTTTCCAGCAGGGTCATAATTTAGACAATGGAATAATTTGCCAGAGGTAGGTTGCTGAGGACCTGTTATCAAAGAAGTTCAGGCAGCAACTAGATAAAAATGCCTGGGTTTAGTGCAGAGGCTAAGCCTGTGCTCATCTCTGGGGACAGACTCAAAGAGTCAGGAATGCTTCTCCAGCCTCTTCTGTGGTTCATGCTTGCACTGTCCCCTTGTCTCACACACTCCCTTTGTACCTGTCTGCACTGCCCTGTCTGCCTGGGATGACAGCCTTCCTGGGGGGACAGTGAGTTTCTCACCCCTCCTGAGCTGCAGGAAAATCTGTGGTGTGCAGAGTTTGAAGCACACTGGAGCAGGCATTTGTCACTGGGCTGTCTACCAGCAGGGAAGGGCTTTTCAGGCTACCAAGCAGTGGTTTCTAGCCTGATTGAGGCTGGTTTATTTCTGGTTGCAACATGGGTGTCTGGCTTTGAGGATGTTCTATCAGCTGGCCAAGAAAGGTTGACCAATGGTCTTGATCTAACTCAGAAGGTTTTCTTTATGTGAATGGTAGTTGCCAAGTGGAGTTACTGTGTCAGGGAAGAGGAAAAACACCATCAGATTTCTGATGAGACCTCTCCCAGCCCAGGATGTTGGTTTACCACTAAGTTTAATTAACAGTGAGGGAACCAGTCTTCACTGTGCAGCACAAAAGCCCATTTGGGAAAAGATTTCAGTGTAGTTGCTGGGCAGTGGTGAGGGATGAGAGGTGGCTATGGTCCCATCAGTGCAGGAACTTCAGGAAGTAGAGAGTAGGGAAGAGCCCAGAGGAGGATGAGACAACCTGTGCGATTATACACATTCTTGCCTGGCTCCTTTCCTTCAGCCGTGGTAGACCTACCTCAACCACAGTCAGTGCTTCATGACTTGAGACAATCCCAGCTGAGCTTGTGTTCCTGCAGCACTGAGAGCTCTCTGCAAAGAGAGAATTTGTTGCTATTACCATGCGAAGTCTGGAAGGGCCCCCAAAAAGTGAAGATTGATAAGATCTCCATAGGTCAGTTCGCTGTTGTGGGATTTTTTGTCTTCTCTGTGGTGGTGTCCTGTAGACCTCATCCTGTCTGTGCAAAGTGCTTTGCTGAGGGCTGTTCCATGATACCTTGTACAGTGGTGTAAAGCTTTTTAGTGGGTTTTTCTCTGCTAACACAAAGGGCCATGCATGTCCAAGCAATAACTGATTATCACCTGTTTACCAGAGCAAGAGCTGAGCTTCAGACCAGCAAAGCCTTTTGTTCTTAGTTGATTTTCCTTTCTTTGTTTTCACTGACTTTTGGTGCTTTTAAAACTCTAGATCAGTTAGTCCATGTTCTGAATGCACGGAGACCTTTCCTCTGTTACTGCCTAAAAAGGGGTCCCAGCAAAATCAAGTTCTGCTTGCCCATATTTACACTAGTGGTGTGAGGACCAGAGGGTTCATGTGACTTGCCCAAGGCCAAAGTGGGATTCAGTGGCAGAGCTGAGAAGCCCACCCAGGTAATACATTCCCCTACGGCAAAGAATAGAAGTCCAGGAGCCAGGTGTCCTTCATCCTTCCTCCAGCCACAGCTGAGCCACACTCCTCCCAGCATATGAGAAGACTCCAGATAGATTTATTTCTCAATCTCCTTCTGTAATCAATACCTTGTGGGACATGTTTACCAGGATATCACAAGGAGCTGATCTCATTATTCACCCTTCTGGTGCACTTATGGTTATGTGACAGTCTCTGCCCTTCCCCATCCACCACTACCTCATGCCTGTTCTCTCCTGTCCCTCTGCCTTTGCACAGCCCCACTGCATTCATCCTCTGCAAGAACCAGTGTGAGCCTTGCGGTCTCTGGAATGGGAAATCTCTTTGGTGTGTGGTAACCTGCACTTCTAGGTTCTTTATGATTAAGAGTAGTCTACCCTTTGAACAGAAACCTAGTGGTGACACTAATGCATTTGTGCTCTGTCTTCCTTGCTATTTTAATTCCTAACAACCCTTACATGAAAACTAGCTCTCCAAGGCTCCTGAGACAATCCTTTTGAGTGCACAGACCTATCATAAAATCCACCCCAAGTGAGGGATTTTGTGTGTATACAGAGAGAGAGCAAATGAGCTCAAGAGTGAGAATCAACTGCTCCTGTGTCTCACCTATGGAAGGTAGAGTTATGGCTGAAGAGCTGAATGTTGAAGTTTCTTTGGTGCTGTCCCTGGTCAACTCTATAAGGTGCCTGGTGAAATTCCTGAGTCATTCTCAGTGTTCATGCACAGCAGCTCTAACCCATCGACAGCCCTGTCAACATTTCCAGTGGTAGGACCTAGAGCTAAGTTCTTCTTCAGGTGGTTTCTAGAAAATACTGCTTGGTGTGTCCGAGCTGCAGCCTGGGAAGGATAATGTAATTTGTCACTTTCTGGGAACATGGTGAAGGTTTCTGCCTCAAAGTTGACACAGAGTGACAGGTCTGGAGCTCTCTGCAAGCTGACACATGTCAGTCTGCTGGCTCGCTGTGTTTACTCCTGCCCAGGCCCCAGGAGCACAGGTTACTGGGCATGTGGATTTGTGACTCTGTTCCAGAATGAGGATTGCTCCTAGCCATTTCCTTTCTTTCCCATTTTTAATCTCTTAAAACAAAGAAAGCACACCATCTGGCTCCTGCATTTGTGGGATGCAAAAGTGCTTTAAAAAGGTGAACTGCTTAATTTCCTGTTACACATTTGGATACAGAAAACAAACATTTATATAACAAAAGCAGCAGAGAGGCATTTACCCTCTCCACAAGGCTCTCCATGTTCTGCCTGAAGACAGATGTGTCCTTTTCCTTGTGCATCACAGAGGGATCCCGTCAGCTGTTGCCTTTAAACCTTCTTTCAACAAGACAGGATGGAGAGAGGATGGTTGTGGAGCTGTGGGTGGTGAGGAGAGGTGAAACAGCATCTGATTGGAAAGCAAAGGGACTGCAGAGACGGGGAGAAGTAGCCCAGCTTCTGTGTGAGGCGGGGATGCTGAAGATGCATTTCTGTGATGTGTTGTGTAATGTGCTGTGCAATCTTTGGTGTGAGTCTCTGTGGGAAGGCAGGATGGTATATATCCATATTGGAGAGAAAAGATTTGGGCAGATTTTGTTTTTCTTGTTATTTTCTTAAAAGGAAAGGAAAAAAAAAAAGTGTGAGTAGGTGATTTTTTTTAGGCATGAGTCAGGGCTGTGACAGCAGGTGGTGGGACACTGCATGTCAGGGATGCTGTGCCTCAGCCAAGCTGAGTGTGCCATGGAGACTGCAGCAAGTTGGGCACATGCCTGCCCAGAGTTGCCCAGGGAGGTGGAGGCTGTCGTGATGGCTGAGGGAGTTGCCCAGAGCTGTGGGGCATCACTGGAGCTGGTGTTAGGACCCCCACCTCTCTCTCAGCCATCAGACTGGGGGTGTTGCTCTTAGAGCCCTTCTGTGGCCCTGAACTCCCCTGTGCTCCAGTAAAATCCAGATAATTTTCCATTCTCTCCCCAGAACAGGTACTTCAGTTTCAAAAACAAAATTGTGGGGCAGCTTCCCAGGTAAAGGGCAGTATTTCTTTATCTTTGGAAGAGAACAGTCTTAAATCAAAGTCAGCAGTTCTTAATAACTTCCAAGGTAATGTCCTGATATAAGTGTGAACCCAGCAGTGAAGACACATGTTGAGTAAAGGAAGGATTTATGTAGGTATTAAAACTCATTAAAACATCCCTTTGTTCAGATCTCCTATGTCTTACCCTTCCAGCATCCTGCCCCAAATCCTGGGCTGGGCTTGAAACCTCAAGGGGATTTAGCTCCATCCTTTCCCAGAGGTCTGTCCTGATTGTGCTCCTGGTCACAGTTCATCACACAGAGGACACCTGCTTGTCAAAAAAAGGCACAGGCAGGATTTGCAAAGGGCTCTGAAAATATATTTCTATTTCTAGCAACACAGAGCTAAACATAATAACAAAAAAACACTCCCTGCTTCTGTGTCCTCACTATTCTGGAGCATTGTTTGGATATGGGAGAGAGAAGCTTTGCAGGAAGAATTATTATCTTTTATTAGAACATATGATACTGTTGGAGGGGAAAAAAGAATGAATGTTAGACACACAAGCCCTCTCTGGTCTCATCTATCTATCTATCTATCTATCTATCTATCTATCTATCTATCCATCCATCCATCCATCCATCCATCTATTTCTCCTCCTTTCAGTAGTATCAGTTTGTTTAATAGAAGATGAATTTATTTTCCTATGGACCTTGCCTCTCACATCCTTAGACAATCAGAACCAAAAGGACATTTCTGCTATGATTTTGGCCTTAGCTCAGTGCTCTTTAAAAAGTCTAGGATCCCTCTGGCAGATGCCTCCTCTTCTGAAGCATGAAGGTTTACTGTGTAAACGTTTTCTTTCTTCTCTTTCTTTAAAATGGGTAGCAAAACCCCATTCTTCTTTATAGTTTTCACTACCCATTGTCAGGTTCTTTTCCGAGGACCATTATCCATCTAG